AGGATGGAACTTTTTGAGGTCAAACCCCCACCCGTCCGTTTTGGCGTCGGGAACAAATCATCTCGTTTATTTTCTCCATTATAACTCGCACTTGCTCTTGGTTACTCGAATTGCATTTCATGAACGCAGAATAATTTGCGAACGTATAAATCACCGATTTCAAACTTTTTGCATTTCGTAAATATTAATAGTGACCAATCTGTTTGTATTTCAAAAAATTGTAACATGTTTCAATTAAATTAAAAAGAGAATAGTAAATAACTTAGTGTGTATTGCAGTTCATGACATAAATGCTAGAAAGATGTATGTAAATGACATGCAAATTAATATGCAAATTTATGCTAATTAGGCCGCCCACCAGCTATTTTGGATTGTGGAGAACACTGCTCGAAAAAAAATGCAAGAGGGAGCACTGCAATTCAGCGGCACCACCAGGATGTGGAGTGTTTGATAATTCTAAGTTAAAATGAAGCATTCTATGGCTTCCTTGGGGCCAAAATTACTTTCAGACAGGTCACAGTTGAAAACTGTGGCCACATGTGATCCCTGGTCAATCAGAATTTTATGGTTGCCAGAGGATCCTGCTCCCCAGGGTAAGAGGGCATGGCATGAGGGCGCTGCGCCACTGTTCCCTTGTTCAAAAAAAATCTTTCCATATACCTTGACCTGATTCAAGTCATTTGTAATTTCTTGATCATGATTTCATTTTTGATAGTTATGTTTGCTGGGAAAACTGCTACTCTCTATTTATTATTTCTCAAATCACAGTTATAAATAATTTCAAAATTCAGACCTGCAAGTCAGTGGATAATTAGTGACTCTTTCTGATATCATATAAACATCAAATCACTTTCATCCTAGGTTGTCTTCACCACTGAAAAATCACAAACTGTCTGAACATGATACTGTAAATAACACATTTAATATAAAACACTGTTGATCTGTATTTGTAAATTACATATATCATATTGTATTTATCTAGCGATAAGTTTTAATGGTACTGTCATGTCATGGATTCTAAAAAAATGAAGCTACTCCATTTTTTTAATTCTAACTTCTCTGTATATTTTCACCCATAGGATGATTACATGGACGCCTTGGCCAAACTTCACCAGACTGTATCACGGGCGTATAAAGTAAATCCTAATATTAAACTTGAAGTATTTATCCACAAAGTAGATGGTTTATCAGATGATCATAAAATAGAAACGCAGCGAGACATTCACCAACGAGCCAATGATGAGTTGGCAGATGCTGGACTAGATAATGTTCATCTCAGGTTAGTGTACATGTATATTATTGTACAAGTATTCCTTATAAAAACATATGGTAAATGAAGGTTTTGAATGGGACAACTGATGGAATTTTGTATTTAAAATTGTCATAACACCTACCCTGCACAGGACGTTTTTGATTAACGAATGCCATTCCATAGCCTTATCTCTGACATGTCTTAACTGATTGGAATCAAACTTTACAACTGCATTGCACATCATGTCACATGTATTAAAACATTCGTTTTTAGTTCTGATTAATTTCAGTTTTGTTTTACTAATGCAAAACATGAAAAATATCTATTTGCTTTTCTACATTATTATGAATATGAGGCTATTACGAGGATACCGAAAAGTATGCACGTGCAGCGGAGGTCGATGCAACGGCGTACTGTCGAGTGCATACTTTTTGGTGTCTTGTAATAACCTTATTATTATACATCTTTTCCTCTCCAATGATCTATCATGGCAATGCCGAAATACAAAAAGTTTAGAACAGATTGAGTGAACTTCGTTGTGCGAGTCCAGTCAAACCCTTGGGTTACC